TTAATATTTCCTCCCTTTACTATTACAGCTTTTGTTTCACCTTATTAATCATGTTAAATTTGAATATGTCTACTTGTATAGATTTAAGGTCGTTTAGTACATGAAAGTCAAGATAGATAACCCTTCACAAACAATAACAAGAGTAATGGTTCCCTGAGGGTACAGGAAGATGGAAGCAGGGAGAAGGTGGGGGTGGGGTGGGGGAAGGAACAGGGAGCTGACAGCATTGATGACTGTATAACCCTACCTGATGGGATCTAACAACAGAATTGTATGTAAATGGGTATATTGGATTGTGCAAGGTATGGCAAAGAAAATGTATAGAAAATAAAAAGACTAAGGGTTCCTGGTATGGTGGGGACAGGGACAAAGAAAAGCTGATTATCAAGGTGTTCAAGAAGAAAAAAATGTTTTGTAACTGATTGTGGTAGCAATAGTACAATACTTCTTGATGTGATTGAACTGTGGAATGTTATGATATCTGTAAGCGCTCCCATTTGATTAAAACTCAACCCCCCCCAAAAAAAAACTAAACAAAAAATATCCTCCCAAATACCAAAATAATAATAATAAAAATTTTTAAAGAAGTACTGACCATTTATAAAAGAAAACCTTAGCAGCCATCTAGTCAATTTTGACTCATGGTAACCCCAGGTGCTCCATACAGTTTTTAAGGCTGATTTTTAGGAAATAGATCAATTCTCCTTTCTTCATCAATGTCTGGGTGGCCTGGAACCTAACCCTTTTGTTAGTAGTTGAATACCTTAACCATTTCTACCATCCAGTGATGTCCTCTAGAGAGTAATTTTGAAATGCTAGAAACAGAGACTATGTAACCCGATAAATTATTTGATCAATCAATAATTATTAAGAACTGTGACTTCAAAAAAAAAAAAAAAAAAAAAAAAAAAGAACTGTGACTTCTTTGTCACAGTTTCTTCATAATATATACAAAATACCTAACTCATGGAATTCTTATGAATATTAAATGAAGTAACACAACATTTACTGTACATAGTAATGATAAAAATAAATCATTAAATTAATAAAAAATAATATTAGTTTTGGGTTTTTTTTAAGCCTCCTTTGTGCTAAGTATTGCAATTTTAAATACTTAACCAGTGGGCTTCTCTTAATGCCAAATTAAGTTTTTATCAAATTTAAATGGTATGCATGGAACAATAATTCTGGGGTGCGATACAGAATACATTCTCAGTAATGTAATTGCAAAATTCACCTTTACATCATGAAGATCTTGGTCCTTTATAGGAATAAAACCAAATTCGCTGCCACCGAATCGATTCCGACCTTCAGGGAGCTATGCTAGCATGCTGGATACACACTGGGCTGGTAACGGAAAGGTGCGTGGTTTGAGGCCACCAGATGCTCCTCAGGAGAAAAGAGGAGGCTTTCTCTTCTCATAAAGAGTTACAGTCTCAGAAACCCAGGGGGCAGTCCTTTGTTGTCCTATTGCGTCCCTATGAGTTTATAGAAAGAGTTATGTGAGAAAGTACCAGCAGAGTCTGGTGGAAAGAAAGAAATCATAACAGAAAATGTAGTGTATCCAAACAATAAAAGAAAAGGCCATTCTGGAGACACTTTCATTAGCATTGGAATAATAGTAACTTGAATCCTATGCAATGACCAGATTTTGGACTTTTTGATCCATTGTTCATTTGTATTAATGACGTCATTTCATAAGACGCAACCCGATATATAAAGCTTGTTGGGAAACAACCCTTTGTGTTTCTCTCGTTTCTTGCATGTCGTCTACCAAAAACACAAGGCTGTGAAGATTCTTTGCATGGGCCGCTTCTTGGAGTAGGGTTTGTGGCGAGGAACCCTGACGCATGCTGCGAGGTCTCCTTCTGGAACGGAGCCACCCTGCTGACTGCCTGCCGTAAAAGCAGTGGATCTTCAAGCTCAGAGCTCCTCTCCGGAACCAGCACATACTACATGCGCTAGTGTCAGCAGGGCTCCGGCATCCTTCCCTTGGGAGATCATTTTCAAGGGAAACCAAGGTCAAGATGCCATTGCTCATGCTGCTTCCTGCACTGGGCGTAACAATGTCCTTTGTCTCTGACCAGGAAGTCTTACATTTTCTGCCTGCCTCCATGAAATAGCAACAACTAACTTTTTTGTCGGGTGAAATAAAATCCCAAACTCAACCAAGCCACACCACAGGATAATCTCAAGATTGCATTAGTTTGATCAATTGCGAGGTTTTCCAGATCCCCAGAAAAGCTTCCTTTGTGGTCATACACCTTCCTATCTCGCTCTTAGGATCCTTTCACATGAAGTGACAAAACACGTCACAAACCTCAGCCCCTATATAACCAGTAATGTATGACGCTCCCTATGGAAGCTATAATCTTGTCCTGGAGTCTTAGAATCCAAGTGGAAGGTTTTAAGCAGATAGCTTGGGTTTCCATTTTATACCCTTTCCTTTTTATTGGACTGTGGGCTCAATCTTTATACATGAATTGAACTTTGTAAATCACATCTTCTATAGTACTGTAGTCAGAAGTCCAGATTGTGAAAAAGCTGCTTTCAAAACAAAACCTCAGGCCTCTCACCTGTCTCCAGGACAGCTCCCTTGCCTCCTGGAATGTAGCGCTGGCTGGGTAATCAATTAGATTTCTTCCTTCTCAAGCTGACCATTGATGAAACCCAACTATTTTCTCCTAACAATATTACCATTGTGACACTGGCATTTTTATGTAAATAACTGTCCTCTGATTCATTAAGCCCGACTGCCCCTGCCATTCCCCTTTCTGACCCTTATCAGCCACTCACTAGCAAAACATGAAAATAAATAAATAAGAAGATACAGAAAGGCAATAAAAGGGTTACAGCCAAGAAGTTCATTGTGACTGTGTCTAACAAGGAAATTTTGAAATGGGTGACTGAGCACCCAAGGGTGCCCTGTCAGCTGGCCACAGCTACATTTGTTCAATGCCTGACAAATGCTTAGCACCATTTCCAGGTGGCACATGGAGACACAGAGCAAATGATGGCCATAGGAGCGCTTTCGGAGGGCTTGCAATTGAATAGCCAAGAAAGCACAATCAAATACCTACATAGCCGCACACAGACCATCTGGCCCTAGCTTACCTCTCCACTTACTCTTGATTTCTTTCATAACATGTGTCAAAACATGTAATGATTTAGCTTATTTATTTGTGCTCTTGGTGATTATGGTTCCCGTAGAGCTGAGATGTACCCAGCAGGCAACACTGTGGCCAATTATTTATGACTGCCACCCCTGGTAGTAGCCTCTAGAATATCAATTCCAGGACCACGGAGGCCATGTCTGTCATATTCACCATGGTAACTTCACAGCCTAGCAAACTGCACCTCCTAGAGTTTCTATGTTTTTGACTACAGGATGTCCTTGGTGATCAATGTTGAACTTGCAGACAATTCCTCCTCACCCCTAAGTGTTACGTAAATGTACTCTTACTTTGACATGATTGTGCCAACGCCTACTTGCAACAATTCTTTTTATTCCAAGTCCCTTCACTTCCTACACATCAGCTTTGAAATCACTGAAAAGACTTGGCGCATTTTCTTGGACTAAACCTGGGCGACCAGGTGATTCCGACTCACAGTGACCCTAGCTAGAGTGGCTGCAGCTGCAGAGACGTGGGGGAGCAGTCGTCTTCCCTTCCAGCGGCTGCTGGGCTTCAACTGCTCATCGTTTGGGTGGCAAACCCAACCTGAGCCGACAGCCCCACCCTCGCGCCTTCTGGCAGTACAGCAGCGGCTCTCAATCTGTGGGTCGCGACCCTTTTGGGGGTCGATCGACCCTTTCACAGGGGTCAATCATAACAGTAGCAAAATGACAGTGATGAAATAACAATGAAAATAATTTCATGGTCGGGCGGTCACCACAACATGAGGAACCATATGAAAGGGTGTCGGCATGAGGAAGGTGGAGCACCACTGCAGTACAGTAAGGCTGCACAAGAACTTTCTGCATCTGTTCTGACCCACCTACAAATCCTGAAAGACACAGAAATTGATCCTGTTTTACCCCAGAATCTACATATAAGCACACAATAGATAAATTCAGCAACAGCTATGGAGAGAGATTAAATAAACTTATGTCAGGATGTTGCAACACACTCAGTGATACAAAATGAAATAAGAATTTGGTTTGAAGGCACAAGCAAAATTTTAAAAGAACTTAGGTAAGGAATCATTCTAGGCAGAGAACTGATTCCGACCTCATTTTCCTTAAGGAGCCTTGACATCAATCACAAAGGATTCCTAAAGAACAGAAGCTCCCATTCGAGTCTCCTCAGGTGCCCTTGGGCTCAGAGAGTATAAGGGCAGTGGGCTTCTGCTGATGGCCCCAGACTTACTAAGGCTTAAAGCTGGGAAGGACAATCAGGATGCAGTTGAATCCCTTCAATTGATAGCAGAACTCGCTTCAAGCTAAAGTGAAGCCAGTGGTGTTAGTGACCTCCGTTTTTATTTATTTTTATCTTTCACCTTGGGCTCTACTCCATCCCGACTCTGAGGTCAGCTCTGTGACCTCATTTGGCTAACGGGATGGTAGCAAGTAGAGGAATGAAAGGCATCACCTTGACACTTGCTTTCCGGCTGCTCTTTCTCCTCCACCACAGCCGCATGTCTGCTCTGGCATGCTAGAGGACAAGACACACGCAGGGTAGCCACGGTTCCTCATCTCCATGAAATCTATCCTCCAGGAAGTGAATAGCTGGGCGACCTTGAGCGTGAACCTGGGCAACACCAGTCAGTTGACTTGAAACTGATCACAGACGTACAAGTGAGCCCAGCCAAGCTCAGCAGAGCATCCCAGCTAACTACCCATTCATACACCACCGAGTCTTAGGATGATTTAGCTTGTAGCATCCTTCGGGCAGTACATAACTAGTATTTCCTTAAAGTCATATCAATGAATTACCAATCAAACAAATAAAGGTGTACATATGATTACTGTTTACTGAAATGGAAAATATTTTTTGGTCAAATTATTTGTACAACCAGAGTCAAAGCACTCCCTGCTTGCTGGGATGCACTTAGAATAGAGAAATGAAGACCAGCAGCAGGCCCAGGGCCACAGGGGTGGACGAAACCTTCCCAGCGCTGTTGGCGGCCCAGTACTTATCATACACGTCATCGAGCACAGAGAACACAGCCTCCGTGGTCTCCTCGCACGTGGGCTGGATCTGATCCTCTGGCAGGAGAAATCCGTGTGTACCATTATCTCTCAGTTCAAATGTGTATGAGAAGGGTATCCCAATGTCCCGAGCCCAGTCTCTTGAAGATCCTGATGTAGCATCTACAGAGAAAACAGGAAAGCAGAGACATTGGACATTGTAAAGACAGAGTTCTAAAATCATTGCAGGAAATGAGGGGTCAATCTAATTTTAAAAAAATCTTTTAAATTAAGGTCTATGAATCATTGCCTCCCAACCCTCTCTTGATACTAAACTTCAGCAGGGCAGGGACTCTACTTCTCTCAGCTACAAGGTACCTAGTACTGTTCCTGGCTGT